AATATTATTCAGAATTCTTTGCTAAGTGGAAGTATCTCTGCTAAAATATGTAATGCTCCTGCTGTTTGCTGATATTTTTATCAGACTTTACAAATCTGATCTGTTCATGTTGTAAAGATTTACAGATTATCAGCATGAGTTTGTGTGTGTAATTTGAGTACTAGAAGTGATGATTTCACATTTTGTTGTGGTGAATTCATGCCTTCCCATGATTTTAGTAAACAAACATGAAGTAACCTCCCATCCCATGTTCTTACCTGTAGTGAGAAATAATTGTGTATACAAACCATATACAGTAATAAGCACAGTAGCTAACACACAAACTATCTGCACAAAAACGTCTAGTCCACCAGCCTGTCGTTTTTCTCACTACCATATAATGGTATGTCCATAGTTTGCTGAAGGAGATGTGACAGGACAAGGGGTAATGGTTTTAAACTGAAGCAGGGTAGGTTTAGACTAGATATAAGGAAGAAATTCTTTACAATGAGGGTGGTGAAACACTGGAACGGGTTACCCAAAGAGGTAGTGGAGGCCCCATCCCTGGAAGCATTCAACACCAGGTTGGATGGGGCTCTGAGCAACCTGATCTAGTTAGCAGTGTCCCTGCTCACTGCAGGGGGGTTGGACTAGGTGACCTCTAGGGGTCCCTTCCAACCCAAAACATTCTATGATTCTATGATAATCTCACTTCCACCAGAACAGGGTATAGGAGTCTCTTGCTCTCCATTACTTAAGAGAAGTGAGACATTAGGAACAGCATTGCCAACAGGTTGAAGGAGATGCTCCTTCCCCTCTACTCAGTCCTGGCGAGACACACCTTGGAGTGCTGGGTCCAGTTCTGGGCTCCCCAGTACAAAAAGGACATGGACATACTGGAGTGAGTCCAGTGAAGGGCCGTGAAGATGATTAAGGGATGGGAACATCTCTCGTGTAAGGAGAGGCTGGATTATTTAGCCTGGGGAAGAGCAGGCTCTGGGGGAACTTATCCGTATGTATAAATACCTGATGGGAACAAGCAAAGAAGATGGAGCCAGACTTTTCTTAAAGGTGCCCAGGAAAAGGGCAAGAGTTGATGGGCACAGACTGAAAAAATTTCAGCAGTATCATTGGCAGAACTGCAAAAAGGATGACCTTTCAGAGTTAAAAAAAAAAAAAAGTAGATTGGCATTTTTGTTGAAATCTAGAAGTATCTGCTGGTTTTGAGCTCATCAAGGATCTGACCCCATAAGCACACAGAATGCCTTTCTGGTGGATACAGGCTTGGTAAATCTATCGCCTTAAAATCAGTTTTCTTTCTGGAGATTGCCTCATTTCTCTCTAGTTCCATATTAGTACCCTCTGGTTCTCTTTTTGCTCAGCAATAGGTAATTATAAATATTCAGATCTACCTTATGACTAAATCCTCCTGAAGGCTTGTACACGCTTGTTTAAGGAACACTAACACCTCTCACTGTCTCTGGCAAGAACTGCCATTCTTACAACTTTATGTCAGTGGAATTGTTTTGCCATTGTTTTTAGTTGGGGCATAGGCACACAGTTCTGTCTGGGTTTACTTTCAGCATGTACGATAACTGCTCTGATTTGCCTATTTCTTGTCATTGACAATGGGGAAATTTAAGTTCCTCGAAAGTGCCTGGCATAACATCCAAGCTACTTGCCTAACATAGCAGATGTGAATAGCTTACTTTCTCTACCTGTCATCTATAGAGCAATTATTTCAGTAATTCAGTATGGACATACATTAACTATCCCAAAGAACAGGTGAGGTACGGTATCAACGAAATAACACAGATTAGTTCCACGTACTTCATTAAAATCCTCAAGTTTTTAAACTGCTGAAACTACATTTTTGTGATAGTACTCTGTTCGAACTGAATACTCATGAGCTAGTCTGGAAATCACGAACAGTTTTTCTTAAGGAAACAATATACTTGAAACAGCAATTCCTTTCCTTCTAGGAGGCTCTGCTTTTTCGGGGAGATGAGCAGCAGGCTCTGCAAATCTGCTTTTTCTGTTCTCAGCATAAGCACTCCATGTCTGCTAATACTTCACAGTCCACCAGAGAGCGCACCTCACATCCTGGAAAGAGACCTCATCATATGATGTCATTTCATTCACATGTCACTTCCTCTCAGTTCCTCTCTCCCTCAGTGGTAATGTTAACAATGTCGATATCATTAAGCTTTGCTGCTGGGTTAGGTAATATTAGTTAATATTCATAGATGGAATCAAGACAATTCACAAGTCAAAGTGATTGTTCTAGTCTCTTTACAAAATCAGGCAGATGTATCTGCATTAGTGACATCTGTCTGATGTTTTGGAAGCAGAGCAGCAAGTGGTGCTTTCCAAAATGAAAGCAGAGTATCTGGAAAGCAAGGCAGGAGTACAGCCATGTTTCCACAACTAGCCCTTCATGTTCCACACCTTGCTGAACAAGCGCTAAATTACAAGAATGCAGAGTAACTGACTAACCAAAGAGATTAATATTAATACCTTATTTATTTAAACATATTAAAATTAGGCAAATGCAACTCAGTGATAGTAATAAATAAAGAACACATTCTCAAAATTCTGCATATTTCCCCTTAGCCATTTTTTATTTAATTTTTTTACACTTTGGAAAGGTTCAGAAAAAAAATTTATACTTACATTCTTCAACACTTTTTTCCCATTTCCAGCTTGTAGATTTTCCATGGGAATTATAAAGCCAAGAGAGGGTGCTAGACTCTCCAAGACAGGCCATAACCACTCATTTACTCAAGGACTGTACAGCTACAGCTTCTGTATTTTGCTTAAAGCAGACACAGTGGCTAGTGATTGTGGTGAAATTCCCTGTTTGCACCTCAAGTTGTCACCAACAACTGATAAGTGCTATGTCAAAGTCCAGGGACAACCACACCTTTCCTAATACTGCTTCCAGACTTCCAATTTGTTCTTTCAGTAGCCTTTTTTTTCCAGCCAACATCTACAGTGAAGACCATGCAAGAGGACAGAGTAGTTTATGTGGAAACAGCAAAAAACAGGCAGACGATTCCTCTATCATGTTATTCAAGCTCTCCTGATGGGTGGCCACCAAGTGTTTCAGTCCCCGGTAAAGCTGGAGGTGCTTGGGATAGTCTCTATCATAGCTATGCCCAGAGCAATGGCTGGGCATTTGAGAAGCTCAACCTTGTCCTGGCCAGTGGTCAGGGACCATTGGTAGTCAAGAGCTTATATCTCTTCCACAGTCATCTCACTCAGATATCAACAGATCTCTTAAATCTCTGTGTCCCACCATAGAAACTCATAACGGCCAATTGGTACTGACCACTGCATACATGAAATGTCAACATTCATGAAGTTGTGATGTTCGTTACCCCTGGGACTTCCCCCTGGAAACATAACACTTAAATAACAGCCTGGACTTTTCAACTATGTCCTGGTATTAGGCTGTGTGTCTTCAGAGATTTATAAGTATTGGGAAAAGTGTTGTTGTCAGAGGGGTTTGCTGTAAGCTTTACCCAGTGTTATTCTTTTTTAGAAGGTAAGTTTTAAAAGCTTTGTTCATATATGATGAACTGCCATGAAAGTGGATTTTGAGATTTATTTGTAAACCTGTGACCGGGTCCCTTTTCTGCCAACACGGCCAGCTGAAGGACCAAGTCCACATCACATAGCTTCACTGAATTGGCACATTTGTGCCTTTCTGTCAATGGGTGACCCTATCTTTTGGCCTTACACTCACTAAGGCACAGTTACATTGCAGAAATACTTGGTTTCATGTGGTGCTGTCCTCACATTACTGCTGCCTTTGCCAAGGCTGAAACTATCCCATTTGTATGTTTTATTATATTTATCAAAATTTTTGGCTGAACAGCAGTTTACAGGAAAGTATCTGTTTGCCTCTAAATTTTTTGTATGTCATGGAGCACTGGAGAGGCAGAATAAAAACATTCAGCTTTACATCTAGCTGCTGTGGCACAGTGTTTTGTTTTGCCAGTAAAATACATAGATTATTTTAGGAATAATCAGGTGGAAAAGCAAGCCATGCTGCTAGTGTCTGTTCAGTCTTGTCTGAATAGTTGCTCAGCTAAATAGCTCTAAGCAGATGAAAACATTGGAAAGCTTAATTTGAATAAGGGTTTGGAATAATCTAAAATCCCTTCACAGCTCTTGAGGTTGAATTTATATACTGGTATATTAATCCTGCCCGAAAGGTCGGCAGAAGAAACCATAATCTGTATTGACAAAGCTGTTGAACAAACTCATTCTTGATTCAGCTTCATTGACTTCAGTGGATTTGCATTTAGAATTGGTTCTTCTAAAGAAAACCAGCTCCTTTTATTAGATAAAGTGTTTCCTAATAGCTTCTTTCATTGGACTTTAGTTCAATTCTGTCTATGTGTTTGTTATCTATCCTAGCTCTCCCTGCCAGAATGGAGGAACATGCATCGATGACAATGGTTTTGCACCACATGCTTCCTGCCTGTGCCCTTCTGGTTTTGCTGGCAACTTCTGTGAAATAGATAGAGATGACTGTGAATCCAACCCATGTGAAAATGGGGGCACGTGTACAGATATCGGTGTGGGTTTCAGCTGTTCTTGTCCCTATGACTACACAGGGAAATTCTGCAGTAGCCGTGTCACATTCTGTGCAAGTGGCCCGTGTGAGAATGGAGGGACATGCAGTGAACACCCCCAGGGAGGATTCGAATGCATCTGTAAGCCAGAATTTGTTGGTGCAACCTGCAGACATCCCAGCAAAAACACAAGCCTCTCTGGAGTGAATATGGAGACAAGGAATAGGCAGAATTACAAGCCACCCCCAAAAGTTCATCACAGATCAGTGCATCATCAACAAGAAATCCTGAAAATAACAATGAAAGAAACAATCCAAAATGCAGATCCCTTGCTCAGTAGAAGCCAGGTGATATGTTTTGTTGTACTGGGCTTGCTTACATGCCTTGTTGTCTTGGGTACAACCGGGATTGTGTTTTTTTCAAAATGTGAAATGTGGCTTGCTAATGCCAAATATAGTCATCTGCTACGCAAGAAAAAGAACTTTTTTCTGAAATCTAACAATGGGGAAAATCTCTCAGTTAATATTATCTTCCCAGAGAAGATCAAATTGACTAATTACACTAAGAACTACACTGCCATCTAGGCCCTTGAAAGCCGAGCAGCAACTTAAAACTTTCCATAGCAATACTGGAAATAGATTGAACTTATTGCCCATGATTTGCCTCAGTACTTGTGGGTACATTTGCTGTAGCTTGTGCTGAGAGACAATGAAGAAGTATAACGTATCTGTATTGCTAAGGATTTTTTCATTCCCCAAAATAAACGTTAAAAAAAGGATTAAAGAGCAGGGCATGTTAATTTGATTTCTTTTCAAGGCAGCTATTTTTTGTAAAATAAAAGATAATTTACCACTGGAACCCTGTTGCAGCTTTCTTGTCCTGTGCATAGTTTATCTGGCAAATACGGTACCTGTAAATTACTCAGTAATGCTTTTTTTTTTTTTTTAAATAAACAGCAATTAAGGGCTATCCTGGTTTATTTAGTCATTTGTAAATGTTATGCTACAGCAAAGTCCGCAACAAGCATCCCTGCCTAATTCTTCTGCTATCTGTTGTAAGGACTTTAGAGATTGCAATCAACAGGAGCACATTTACACTGTCTCACCTGTCCAGTCAGTTTTGCTATGTTTTACATGCTTATAAGATAGATTGCTCCTTCTATAGAATCTAATACATCTTAGTGATATTAATTTCAGGTTAAAGGTCTCTGTGGCTTGTGATGCTGCCTCCATAAATTGTTCTATTTACCTACCAAAATGTTAAAAAGGTGCTCAATGTCTTTGGTGATACTTTCTGTATGGAGACCTGATAGAAATTTAAAGGATCTGATTGTGACTTTTCTATAAATATTCCTTAAGGAACTCTGCCAAATATCCTTCACACCTGTGTCATGGGGAGAAATGAAAAGATAATGTGTGTCACCTGAAAGAGGACAGTTGCTTTTAGCTCTTCATTTCTGTTTTTTCTCTGTCATATTTCAAGGAGAGGACACGATTTTTCAAGAATCAAAAGCAGCACTAGCAAGCAGGCAAAAGCTCATGAAAGCCACAAAATTATTAGAGGCTTGAGGGTACCAATCAGTCTTAAAGTCCCTGAGGAGCCTCACCTGTGGACCTCACCCACCCCCTGCCTACAGGCCCATTTCAGGTCAGCCCAGAGCTGCTGTTCCTGATCTGAGCTCTGCTGTAGGAGTGCTGGTCTCCACCTCCACCTGCTGGATGAACCTCAGATCTGTACTGTAGGTAGCCCATCTGCTGGATGAGCTTTTTTAACCTGTGCTCCAGCCTTGCCTGGAGACCCTGTCTCCTTCTCCTCCTGACTGGAGCCCATGGATGGACCCTGGACCTGGTTCATCACCTCCTGTGTCTGGAGGACTGTCGATGGACCCCATTACCAGCACCAGCTCTGGTGACACTTTCAGCCTCTGTGAGACTGTGGTGTTGGTGAGGGCATGTCCCACCCTGGGGCATGACCCTCCTGGGTCTCCCAGCTTCCCTTCCTTACTGGGCAAGCCTGACTCTGGCTTGTTCCTTTCAAAATGTAGTGCTCAAAGGTGTCTTTAGCTGCTGCTAAGTAACAATTTACTTCCCTAGTCACCGGAGATGATAGTTTAGCAGCTTTTTCAAAGCTGTCTGGTAACTATGCTATTCCTAAATCCAGTAACAGCTGCTCAAATTAAAAAAAAAAAAAAAAAAAAGCCTTAAAGCACATACAGGTCATTACACTAATTTTTTTTCTGTTCTCATCTCTATTAATTGCTATGAGTATATAGCAAGTTTGCTATATTGCTGATAATATTTGCACATATAGCATTACAGTGTAGTGCAAAGGTTAGAGCTAACAGGAAAAAAAGTGTTGAGACACTAATGTGGAAAGCGTTGACTTCTAGATAACAGGATGAAAATTTTAAAGGAAGCAGATGCTTCTCTCAAAATTCTTGTTGAGAAGACAAATATTCATCAAACCCAGCAACTTTTCAACCAGTCTTAGCGAAGATGCCTAATTGAGAAATCCAGATGAAGGTAAAACCAGGTAAGCAGTGTTGACTTTGAAGCCATGAAACATGAGCCAAAAGAGTTTACACATTTCTTTTAAAGCAATATATTTTAAACATGTAATTTGGTATTGTACATTTTAACATGATCTATTCTGTAATTAGAAGTAGCATTAGAAGATTAGAAGTTGGGATCAGTTGAGGTACTCAGAAACACTGAATAACTCCATTGGGGAGCTCAAACTGTGCAGATTTGATTCAAAACAGTTGCAGCAGTAGAAACTGGCTGGGAATGAGCAACTCAGTTCCATACTGAGCTGAGCTGTGCACCTTCTAGCTCCCGTTGAGCAGAGGCTCTACCAGCCCTTACAGCTTGCTCTGCTTCCAGCCAGACCAAGGCTTTGTGTAACAAAGGTTGTGTTTAAAATACAAAATACAGGTAATTTTAATTCATATTTATAAACTGTCACAAGATTTTTGTCCGTGGTGACCTAGTTGGCAGCTCCTCCACCACAGTGTATTTCTTCATATGTAGACAGGGGAGCCTTTTTGAAGAGAAGGTTCATTAACTTAGCATGTAAAAAGAAACAGATTTCAGCTCTTAGCATCCTTCCTGCTGTTGGTGGTGTCAGTGAAGATGTATAGGAGGCTGCCATTGTCCTGCTATACTCTCCAAAGGGAAAAAATCTTACCTTAAACATGAAAGGTTGGAAAATCTAATAGCTGTTTTTAGCTTCTCTGTTCCAGAAAAGAATTAAACATATGTATGGGAGTTTCTCATATCTGTGCTGTTAGTGTAGTGAATAGCTCCAAAACCTGATCACCACATAAGTGACAGAGAACTGGAATGATAAGAAAGATTTAAGTTTTAAAAAAACACAGTGGTTGAACCTATAGCCTGCAACAGGTTTCCAAAGCAAGAAGTTTAAAACAAGCATTATGCAGAAACACTGACATAGAGACAAAGAGGAGACAAAGAGCATTGACAGGACTTCAATTTTATGTTTATTCTACATATTTTTTATTAACAGATAGAGAACAACATATCTATGATACCTATTGCCAAAGGCACCAACATATATTGCCATTTCTCACCTTTTTGGTTTCTGAATGCTCTCCCTTAATCAAGCAATGATGTCTCCGAGTCCCAAATCTCACCTCTGCCTTAATTTCCTGTAAAAAAGTAAATAAATAAGGACAACTAGGCTGAGGGAAGGACAGCTAGCCTGAGAGACAGGGTGGGGCAGCGGGACAGTTTGTTAAGGACAGTAGTTCCCTATTGTCCCCAAGCTATAGGAGAATATATTGAAAGGTACTTTTATTTTAACCATCTCCCTTTGAGCCATCTTAGCCTCTGTTTTTGCTACATTAAAAAAAAAAGACCCAAAGATGTTCCACAAAGATCAGGTTTTTAGAGACAGGGTGTGGATGTTTTTCTGGGTTTTTTTTTTTTGTTTGGGTTTTTTTTCATGGCCAAGGTGGGGGAAAGGTCTGGCTGGTGTAAAAGTAGAACATATGAAGTAGTAATCACCAAACTCTGGACGTCTGAATAGAGAATACGTGCATGGCTTTTCTTTTTACTGCCATTCTTGATATCTGTCCATAAACCAATAATGTATGCATTGCTTTTGTTTAATAAGAATTCTATTTGCAAGTGCTAAGCCATCTGCTGATGATATATCCACAACAGCCCAGCTGCTCTGCTCTTCTGGGTTGATAACCTGAGTTCTGTATTAAAAGAAATATTTAGGTCCAAATGGACCACGGTATTCCTACTTAAAACAGACCTTCATCTTTTGAGGGTGAAGCACATTAAGGACCTGGCTGTAGGAATATATACAAACCATCACTGAAGACAATGGTCCAGATTGCACTGCCTGAGTACAATACTTTTCATAACTATGTCCTTCCCTCTCCAAGTTCTCAAATTTGCCTGTGCCTTGGCAAAATTAATTTACCATCATAGCCTTAAGGGCAAAACAATTTGCTACAGATATAGGACTCTCTTTTTTTTATTATTATTTTTTTTAATCCAGGACTTTCCTGGCAGAACTACGTGCATATGCATCCAGAGCACACTAAATTATTGCACACGTACTATGCATGCACTGTTGATTTTCCAAAACACATCTCATTTACTATGCATTTCTTGTGAATGAGCCATGGACAAAATTTGCATTCCTGGATGTCACGCAGCCTAGGAAAATATCCAGTTCTGCCTGGCTTAGGTGAAAGAAGAGTCTTGAGAGAAGGTTTTTGTGGTTGCTCTACCCATAATGGAGCCAGCACTTGAGGCCCATAAAGATGGGCCTGCATCTCTGTGGCCATTAAATGAGATCAACACAGAAAATGTACTATGTATTAGGTTTTGCTCTTATAACATCAAGTCATATTTTAAACCTTCTCCATAAATTTCTTGAAGGAAATTAGGATATGATTCTTTTAAAACTTTGCAAGAGGGGGAACAAGACTTTACATAGAAGGTGAGTATTTCAGTCTCAAAAACAAACTGAACTGTTGCTCTGGCAACCATTGTATTAATTAATTTTGGTCATTAGTTCTAGAGCTCAGAAAAAGACTTTTTCTTCTATCTCATTCCCCTACAGATCTTCAAGGTGGAGGACCTTTCCTGAAGCTCATATCTGAGTTGGGGTCTCAGAAAGTTCATGGGAACACAAAGAAGCATGTAGTCCTTATTCTTAACAATCCAGACAAATTTCACAGGCACAGAGCAACACCCTTATCTTCATGGTCTCTTAAAGGCAAGTTGGAGCAACTTTAAAGATGCTAAAATGGTGCAATACAAAGAAGAGGGACTAAGCCAGGCTTAACTAGAAGTCTTGATTAGACAAAAAATGCTTTTATAAAGTTTTGCCACATGAAACTTGGAACAAAAATACTGTTTTATTCTTTCTCTCTCCATCCACTTTCCTCTTTCAAAACGATATCCTTACTATTAATTGCAGCCTTCTGCTATGTATATCCACTTGATGGCAGCATTTGAACACAGAACCATTTGAATCTCTTAGAACTCTGTCCACTTCACATTTCGCATTGGGGAAGTTTGTAACCCATCCCAAGTGACTGGTT